TTTAAATGGTGTTTTTAACAGTACTGCTGCCTACAGAAATAGTCTTCCTGCTCCCAGGCACTGCCTCCCTCCCTAGTGCTAATGTCTTTCTAGTACCAGTGCATTTGCAGAGTCAACGCAGCCAGGGAAGCCAAGGAGAGTTACAGTTAGTGCTCTTTGTGTTTGTTTGCTGAGTTGGGGTTCAGCTCAGTCACTCTCCCTGGTTGGTTCGCTGAGCAAATGTACAGGTGCTTCACACTGGCACAAAGCTAGCAGATGATGCACATGGGAGCAAAGGGCCACAACAGGCTGAGGTATTTCTAGAGGCAGCTCCAGCCTAAAACACTTGTGAAACTACAGAGTTAAGCAAGTGCCATGGAGACTTGTTCACACATGGACTCCAGAAAGCATGCTAGCGCTTTCCATTTGTTGTCCAAGGTGTTGATTCAATTTAGAGGTAAAACCCATATTCCCCAGGCAGCTTCCAGCACATTGTTCATGCCTGTCTCGTGTAGTGCTCTTCTCAGTTGTACAATTGCTTGAGCATTTCACTGGTCTTGTGCGTATATATGGGGATTGTAACCAAAAATTTACATTGGTGGGAGTCTTCAGCTGTGTTACAATGATGTGTAGAGGTGTGGATACACAATGAATATTAATGTTGGTTTAAAGCCTTCATGTATTGTACCTGATAGTCATTCCAGCCCTTTGAAATACTATGTATAAATGTATTGTGTTTTAAGTTATTGTTTATTTAATTGCTTTATTGTAAATTACCTTTATAACCACAGGTTCAGTAAAGCATGATAGAAACGTTAAACATGTGGGTGCTTTATTGTAACAAAGCAGTAAAAAATAGCCTGTCTCAGTTGAGCTATCGGGCTGCATGGGAGGAGGCACTGCATTAGGGCATATGGAGCTGTCAGGACCCACAGAACAGAGTTGGGTTGAGAAAACCCACTTCCAGCTCCAAGCGTAAACACTCAGCCAGAGAAAAAGACTCCGGTTGTTCTACAGATTTGCAGGCCATCTGCTCTGCCCCACCCATGCTGCATGCACAGATGCAAGTCACATAATCTTTTACCCAGTGCAATCTTCTGGAAGGCTCATTTCTTCTCGAAGTTCTCCTTTCCATGCTCCCAGAGGAGTAGCAGTCTTGGCATTTAAGAGAAATCCAGGAGACCTTGTTTAACCCAGCCAAGAGTCACATAGTCTCAGTGTGCACACTGAGATGCCAACTGTCACCATCAAACCACAATTCTCTGTGTCCAAAACTTGAGATCTGTGCATAGATCAGAGGAGGGCAACACTACACCATAGATGGGGCTTGTCTTGCTTGACCCAGCCAGTTAAACCTTACTGGCCTGCTTTCCCCTCCAGCAAAGCAAGAATATTTCCATTTGCAGCACAGAGAAGACATCTAGTTAAGTATGACAGTGCCATGCATTTCTGTGCAGCTTTTGGGAAGAAAGGCGTTACTTGTAAGCCACAAGGCAGGAAGAATAATTAGCCATTGTGTGGGGAGTATTTGCAACACTCAAGGGAGATGCACACAGGCTTACAGAGGAGACTTGAACTTTCATGTCCCTGTGATGCCCAGCTTCTGAATTACTTGTCTAACAATGATTCTGGAGGTTCCAGCAGCTTCTCACAAGAGCCACCTCTGTGGGCCTTCCCCCACTACCAAAGCCCCCACCCTGACCCAACATACCTTTATGAGAAGGGGCCTAAAGTGCCACAATAAATGCTCCAGTCCCCGACTTTGGGGGATTGGCCTTTGTTTCCCCATCCACAAGAATGTGCTGCTACCTGTTGCTGCAGACATAGCCTCTTTAATTTTTTTCCCCTCTAATATTTGACTTCACCTGTTGGTGATCCTGTTGGTGCTGTAGGGAGTAGCTAAGGAAGGACTATCAGCCTCCAAATGGTGAAATAAAAACTCCTATCCTTCTTTAATGAGTTTAAAAATTGTTCATACTTACATCCATACTGCACTGGAAAGTCATGTCTCAAAGGGGTGGAGAGGAGGCTATGGGAAAAATACCAGTTGTCTGCTTGAATGCAGGTTTCCCAGGTTGAAGCAACACCTGTTGATAATCCTCTAAACAGTTTCCTTTCTAAACCAGGGATAAAATAGTCTATAATATTCAGCAAAGAGGTACTCTGAGGTGCTGAGAACATTGAGGTACAGGCACTGCCCACCCCCCAGCTAGAGATTCATCTGCATCCTTATGTCCATCCTCTCACAAGACAACTTCAGATTACTTAATCACTTCTCCTTCCTTTCCCTCCAAATCAACCCACTCTCCTAAATCTCAGTCTCTACAAATAAACTAAAATGAAAGCACTGGTTTGTATGTCCTACATGAGAAGAACAAATGAGCATTTTGCTCTAAAGCCTTTCAGAAAAATGAACATAGGACATTGCAGAGATGAACAACCAAAGCACAGTCAAGGAAAGAATGTTTTTCCAGTCATTCTGGCAGGTCAGTCCTCCATAGCAAAGAATAACAGTGAAGGCAATCAAGTCTAGCTGTCAAAAGGGAAAAAAACAATGAAAGGACCTGGCCAACAGGCCAAGCATGAGAGGATAAAGGAAGAGACTACAGCAGGAGGAGGGAAAGAAAACAAGCACACGCAGTGAGTGTATGAGGTCCCTCAAGGAACCAAAACTGATGGAAAAGGTAATAATGGCGCAGCAGCTACACAAAAGGTTTAGCAATAATATTTTCACATTTGTTCAGGGTAAAAAACAAGATACAGCACAGGAAAAAAGAGAAAAGGGATACCAATGCACGGGTTTCTAACCTGCAAGGCACTACCTACAAGAGCATGGCTGCCTTGCTGGCATTACATCTGCACATGGTAGAGGAGATGGGAGTCATGTCTAGAGCAGCCATGCTCAGGTACAGAGAGAGAGATGGAGGGAAGAACACCAAAGCAGTAGGCAGCAGGAGAGGGAAAGTAATGCAGGACATGCAAGAAGGTGGCAACACCTGGTTTTTAAAATGGCTGAAGGCTCAAAGAACTGCACTTTAATGATGTGTTCAGGGGCTTTGTTTCTAGCTTTCAATTAGCTATCCCATATTTTGTTATTTTAATAAATAATATTAATTTGCATCTATTTTACATTGTCTCAGGAACAGCAACAATCAGCAGTAAACTTATTTTTTTAAAGATGCAGCTTCCAACAGGTTTTACCTCAAGTTGGCAATAGGTATTATGTTTCCCTGTTCTCTCTGCAATAGTGAAAGAATTACAAATTGTACCACATTGCTTCACCAGTGCAGTTAAAAGGACATATGTGGACTGTTAGTAAAACTTATTCACAGACTACCTTATCTCCCTTATCTCCCATCCACCATCAGATACTGTAGAGATGCACACTAGGATTTCTTTGCCCCACTGCTGGCTAGTCTGCAGACTGTAGTCATCCATTCTACTCCAGCCAGAACACCTGTGCAGAAAATAGGCACAAAAGTCCATATTCTTGCCTTCTAAAGTGTATTTCAAAATTTACCATTTTTAAAGGACTTTTCATATCTGAAAACCTCTCCGTTCAGTTGTCTTGTGCAAGATTTTAAGCAATATGACAAGCATACTAAATGTTTAACTTATCTGCATGACTAAGGCCATTAAAGGTAATTCATACTGTCTTGCTTTCTCAGTTACTGACCTTTTAAGCAAAACTTGATTCAGAATCTACTATTTTTACATGCAGAGATGATCTAGTCCAATAAACTCCCATCCCTTCTCATTCTTGTACAACTTCACTGTGCCCTGTATGCACGGGGAGGTCTGTGGCACAGAATTTCTGTCTTTACACGTAACAGAATCAGAATGACAGAATGGTTAAGGTTGGAAGGGGCATTTCAGATCATCAGATTCCAACCCCCCTGCTATAAGCAGGGACACCTCACTCTAGACCAAGCTGCACAAAGCCTCATCAATCCTGGCCTTAAATATCTACAGGGAGAAAGGATTTTAAAATTTATTTTCTTTTTCTTTGTTCTTACAAGGGAAAAAGTTCCAGTTTTCACGCTACTGAAGACCTTTAGTCTCTCTCTGTTCCTGATTGTGTGTAGATAGAATACCTGGCTTCTAAAACTACATTCACATTGAAAAGGGAAAAGCATTTTTTAAATTTTCTTCTTTCTGTTGCAGGAGGTAGCTGGGACCAGCCCACTTGGTCTCCGATCCAGGGAGTGACCAGGGCTGGCCCTGCTTAGCTTCATGGCTGGAGCACTTGACAGGTACTACCACATGTCTCAGTTTCCTATCTGTCACAAGATAAGAAATCCATACAGCCCATGAATTCAGGGATCAAAGCATTCACCACAGAAGATGAAGAATCATATGGACTCCTCTCCTCCATCTCACCTGTCCTTCCAGCAGATACTAACTTTTCTTCTTCAGTAAAGCACTGTTGTCTTCTGCATATTCAACTTTACAGTGGAATTCCTCTGCAAAACAGTGCAAACACATGCAGTATGTGTACAAAAATGGAACCTGAAAAGTGCCATTAACTGAGCATTTTCATGCTAACTTTAACAGGAGGATGCTTTTTTTTTTTCAGTTACAGTGCCTCTGCAGTAAGGTATGAGAATTTTTTTTTCCTAAGTATAGAAAGTAAAAGCATTTCTGCTAGAAATACAAATTTACCAATGCAAGTAATTGATTAAATCGCTCTTCTTCTTTCACAATGTCAGTTTTCAGAAGGAAGGGCCAGCATGCACCACTGTTGGCTACTGATGCCACTGCTGGTGGCCACTGCAGTGTTGCATGTAAACACAAGAAGCTGCAAGTGATAAAGTGACAATAAATCCACTCTAGCGTTCAGCTATAACCTGTGCTCTACCATAGCATACTCCACCAGGAGTGTTTAAAGTTGCAGATCATCCATAACAAGCCTTTTTCTTCTGCACGGGTCTGTATGATCTCCCATGGCAAACGGAAGTATTAATAAATACTTTTATAAAAAGGCAAAAGCAGACATTCTTCATCAGGCAGGAAACCAAGGGTTCTTTAAAACTGTTTAATTACATGTTTCAGGTAAGCACAGACAATACAGTAGATTTGCCACCACTGAATATTTACATTCTTTTCTCTAGGCTTGAGCTGTTCATTAAGAGTGTCTTTCAATCAACATCCTTGCTCAGTCACTTTTGCTGCAAAGAAGGGTACTGGAATAGAACTATTGCAAGAAACACCATTCCATCAAGGCATGATTTTCTGTGGGGCTTTTCCTCCTTTAAGAACCACCTACTAGTAGTTCACGATATTTTGGGAGAATCCTGAAGAAGACCTGAAGAATGCATTGAAACCAAGCAGTGCGCTGAAGTCCCAGAAATACTGAAATCAATACCAATATGAATGCTGTAGAGCTGAAATTCTTTTTCACTCCCACTGATGCCTGGTTTCTGTTAGGACAGTTTTACACCAATTTTGTTTTGTTCCTTTTTCATTAGCCTTTGGGCCTCTTTCTCCATTTTCTTCCGTTGTTGTTCTGCTGCTCTTTTTTCCCTTTCTGCCATCTTCTGTTGTCTGTAAATAAAGAAAACATGAATGGCTAAAGGACAGGAATCCAATTTTCAGCATGTACATACCTTAAGTTCCTGCCACTAGTAAAAACAGAGCCTCAGTCTACTGTAGTTAGGCTCAGCAGGGTTATTCTTTTATTGTGCTGAAGTCCATATTTCAGATTAATCTGGTTTTAGGCATTGATATTCAATTATTTTACAATCTAAAAGCCACTCAATTCTCAAAGATTCAGAGTAAGCAAATCAGTGACAGTATATGACAGCTATAAGGCCCAGAGCTATTTTGGAAAAAACAAAGAAACAAACTAAAAACATATCCAGTACTCTGAGTAGCAAGATTACTCATCTTTTCAAATTTAGACCAGAACAATTTGACTGCCTGGAACACAGACTTGTGTTCTGTCCCCTCTTGCCGTCAGCAGAGGTTTGAGTAGTTATCATCTTTGTAATCCAAGAGCTACAAACATTTTCCTCAGATCAGATGAGCTGATAACTTCCAACATTCCCTTTCACATGTGCTGTTCTCTATTGTTCAGCAGAAATACAAACAATAGGCTTAAACAAAATAAATTAAAAAATAATTCAGAACTCTTCAGTTGTGTATCCTTTTAGAATTATTATCACTGTTATAAAACCCCAGACATCACAACCTTCCCAAAGAATCTGTCTACAGAAATAGGTTTCCAATTTCAACAAATACATAACTGACCAGAGCAAAGGAAAAAAAACCCACATATCCACTGGTTTTATTCCCCACGTTAGCCAGAACACATCACTGAGTGGCACAGGGGCAACCACCAGACCCATACTCCAAGTGGCACATTGCAGCCCCTCTCCTGTATCACTTAAGTAGTATTACAGTGGTGTAAGGAGGTGACTCCTGTTTAGGATTCAGTTATTAGATAGGAAAAAATTGCTAAGTTGCTTGCAAGAGGACTTTAACAATAAAAATGAAGCTTAATTAACTTGATAAGGTGAAATTTAGCACAGATTCAGTAAGAGTACAGGAATGCTTATTGAAGAGAATTGTGAATTCTAATTGACAAGGCAGAAAGGAGTTATTTTTCAATGTATCCAATTATCTGTACACACCCACTTAAGTGTGTAAAACATGCAGAATTACAAGTTGGCACCTGAAGCAATCTTTTCTGGTAGATTCCAACTACAGACAAACTGGGCACATAAAACTGAAACAGCTGAGGTACAAGGACTAAGCATTATCTTTGTATCAGACAGTAGAAGAACTGCATGCACTTAATACCTTCATGGTTTCCCTTGATTGATTATTAATGGCTAGCAGTTTGCCTACATTAGGATGCTTTGCTATCTGTCATGTAAGACCTATATTAGGCACTCACATTAGGATCTACCTTCCAAGTTAGCAGAAGCCCAAACCTTAGTTAGAGGGACTTAGTCCCCCATTTGGCAGTCTGAAATCTTCCAATCATTTTGTAGACCAAAGGTCCCTTTCAACCCAAGCCATTTTTATGCTCCTATGATTCTTCCTTACTACAGTCAGTTGAATACAGAGCCAGGCTTGTCAAGTACTACACCTAAATTTTATGTTAAGTGTCAGATGTTAATTATACCACCAATGTCTACTGCAAAGGGAAACTGTAAACCCAGAAGGAATTCCCTATCAATCTTACTAAAAATCAGCCAGCACTTTCATCAATTACAGAAAAACATTGTAATTGGATGTGTCAGCAGTAAAACACAGGTTTCACTTCACACAGCTGGGATACACCTTACACACTGATCCATTATATTGAGGTGTCCATTCATAGTTGGCCAAGTGGTATCTCATACAGACAGTTAACTGTGCTGATCATGTTCTATTTACTTGAAATATTTGGACACATACACATGTCCCCCTAAAACAAGTAATGTCTGATACTTCTCAGTAGGGCCAGGGTGGAATTCTGTAAAAATTAACCACTTGAGCTGCAGCCTTTCAATAGTAAAGATTCAGGCTGAAGTATATAGAAAGCTCCGACCAAATAAGATGGCATTTCAAAAAACAGAGTTTTGGGGAAAATCCCATTGCTGTCCCCACATAGGAGTGTGTCTTACTAAGTACTCTAGAGCATGAACCTGACAACTAACAGGCAAGATACTTTTGACCATCCTGGGAATACCCACTAAACAAATTTTACACTCCAGGAATAAAATGGCATATGCACACACCAGATTATCTTTAGTAACCAATTTGTATAAGACAAGTCCATGCTCTGTAAATTTTCCTTACTTCTTTTCATAGTCCTAAAAACACCTTTAATGGAATGTGATAAAAGTTAAATAAAGTACAATTTGGCTTCTGCAGTTAGCAAAGGTAGCAGTTTCATTTCTCAGTTCAAAAAAGTAGTATTTTTCATTGTCTTTATTTTGTATGGTCTCAGTAGATTGCACCTTAAGAGATTTTGTACTTTAGAGCCTATTTATACTCTTTATGGGAAAAGATACTATTCTTGGAACAAAAACAGCCTAAAGGCACACCATAAGTATCACAAAGCTTGCACTTCTGTGATGCACTAGTGCAAGACAAACACTCAAAGTTTCAGTATTGAATTAAAAAAAAAACAAGCCAAGATATCAATAAGAATGTACACATAGAGGTGTTTAAGTTTGCAAAAATATTTTTAGTACAACTGTATTCTCACATGTTCAGCTGCTGCAGAGCAACACTGACAGATTTATAATTGGTTGAATTTCATATCTATCATTAATGCATCGAAACCTTGCTGGTGACTTCCCTCTCATCTTACTCTACTTGTTGAAAAAAAAGTAAATTTTTCCCAAATATTACAATAAACAGTTAATCAGAATTCTTTTTTCTTTTTTAGTACCTTTTTCCTTTAGAGATTCACAGTTCTAGAATGATTTTGTAATATATCATGTCCTTATTTCATATTCACTGTTGTCCTACTGAAGCCATGTATTTGTGATTTTGTGAGTAGAATGAGAGCAGTTTAGGAAGCTGGAGCTGTGTGAGGCAGCTTGTCTGATGATGTACCAAGCAATTAAAGTTCGATAAAAACCTTTAAATGAAACACGTTAACATAAATCACTGCCAATTCAAATAATTATATATGATCAGCTTAATCTGCACCTCTTTACCCTTCATATTCCCCCCATGTGTTCTTAAGTGGGGAAAAAAAGAACACAAAAGAAACAGATAAAGTATTGACACTAACTTTGTGCAAGACACTGATTTTACATTCAACCCTTATCAGCTAGTTAAGTTAGCTAGAAAAACATAGCTCCCAAGGGGATTCCAAGAACTTCTTTATAACTTCACCTTCTATCCTGAACCATTTTTACTTTACATCAAACTATTACGATCCTTTTTATAAGGACATTCAGCGGTATTCTACTTCATCAAGTTGAAACATGTTATTTGTACATAGTAAATTGTTGGATTTGGGGAAGCGTTGTTGGGTTTTTGGAGAAGGGTTAATGTGTTGTTCCAATGTTTCAGTAATTCTCAGATTTCCCCTACTATCTTATCTACTAAACTGATTAGATCCAAAATGTAACCTGCCAAGTACCAGCTACATGGAGATTAGATGCATTAAAATAATTTGTCTTTAGAATTGTTTAACAATTCTTAGCATGAACCAGAGAGGTGTTTCAACAAACCAACCCACATGTGATTCTTTTACATGTAGACTTACAGGTACATGTAAGTTATATTATTTTCAGTTACCTAAGAACTTCTTCTGCCTGCCAGGCAGCATCTTCCTCTTCTTCCCAGGCATTAGTATTCTCTTGCCAAGTATCCAAGTCTCCCAGTTCAGGCTGAAACAAAAGAAGAGAAGCTCTAAGCACATGGAAAAAAAAATAGATAAAACATTTTTAACCTCGATGATTTAGAATTCCAGAAATATTTGAGATATGCCAGTACTTCACAGCTTATTCTCTACACATTTTCCCCTGCTCTAATACTGGCTTTTTCCAGTTAATTGTTCGAGTGGTTTTTTTTATTCTACTGGTCAGTAACAAAAGAAGGAAGTACTGGAGTGCATTTTTAAGAAGAAGAGAAGTTAAGCAGATGAATTGAGTAGATAGTGTCAAATATTTCTCAAAGTTGCTTGGCCAAACCAACATGTACATATACGTATTTGTGTGTCCAGTATCATATGAGCGCTGCTTTTACTCACTAGAAATTCTTTCCTGAATTAACTTAATTACAGATGGTCTAAGTGGTACGACCATTCTGAACTGCTTTCTGCCTAGACCCTTTTGTGTATTGTTAATCAAAGTAGAAACACTATTAAAGGAATAAAAAGAGAAGAGAAAGAAACCATCTCCCTCTCAATAGCTAGGCTATTTGGTATCTAGATTATGTTTTCAGATGTTAAAAAGCAAAAATTAGGAGGCTTAGAATACAATACCTAGAGAAAGGAAGGGAGGAGAAAGTTAAAAATGCATCCCAGAGGATTTAAAGAAAAAAAGAAAAGCCAGCTCTTTTGTTAAGAACTTACTGTATAGACTCAAAAACCAACAACCTGTATAGTCTGTTGTTTTAGAAGATTTCCAAGTATACAAGCATTTGGAAGCTTCTTACCTTTTTACCACTGATCTATTGTTTCTTAGTAGAATAAATTAGTTAAAATCATATTAAATACTTCATTGCTTTAAAATAAATACTCAATTTTAAACAAATTTTCATTATTGCACAGCTATTCCTCTTGCTCCTCATAATGGAGACTGTAGACTATTCCTTCTACAGAATTGTCTTTGATGGTCAAATACAATATCAATATTTAGAGCATACTTACAGACTGGTGAATGAAAGGAATATCTTGTGTAGCTGCTAATCTGCTAGAGAATCCTGTGTTTCCCTCTGGAACCCCAAAATTTAAAGGCTCTCGTTTCTTAATAACTATCTGAAAATATTCAAAAAAATAAACAAAAAAGGGTAAGTCAGAGCACTGCACGGATTCCTTGGTGATCATGTAACTCTATGCCTGTGAAGGTACAACTATACAACACTACAATGCATCTCAAACATGCTCAGGTTGTGGAAGCTGTACAGCCAATGAACTGGTAAGTGAGAGAAGCTAAATGCAAAAGATACAAGAACTCCCTCCTCCCCCCACTAGCTTATTCTTAAGTCAAATGGAAATCTATGAGTGTATCAAGTCAGAAAAGGGGCACAAAGAATTACAGATCAAATAGCCATATCTCATATAAACCAATACGCATATAAGCTACAAATTACCTTCCTTGGAGAAATACTGCTTCCTTGATAGGTCACTGTAAGATACAACTCTTGAGGACACTGCTGTCTGCACAGCTTTTCTGCTTTAGAACATAAGCTTTCTTAGCTACTTCAATAGCATACACACGCAGACAAATTAAGTTTCCATAGTTGAAATGTAATGTATTATCACACCAACTGGTAAAGCTCTGTACCAATTTGGCTGAAAAACATGCACTAATGCTTCTCCCAAAAGCCTTATTAGCAAATTTAACATGGTTGCTATGATCATATATCCCTTACTTGTCATGACCTCAAGATACAAACTTATTTGTTTAGCCTACTTTCAGTCTCTGCTGCTTCCAAAGGATGTAGATTCACAGTTCCACTGACTGTACAAATGCCAGTACCAATGCAAGTAAGGAAACAGAACTAGACCATCTTCTTTAGCAATGACAGACTCTGTTGTCTGACTGAAGTTCCACTTCCAGACATTGCAGATACGAGCAGTAACACAAGTAGATTCCACCTCAGGTATTGGGGTTCATACTGAGTCCAAATTTGTTGGGAATACAAATGCAAATTCACATTTAAGCATGGTAACAAGGCCAAGCTAGCAAGAATGCTCCTTACAGTGCCCACAGTCATCCCTAGATACATTTAAACGAAAACCAGTATACAGTATTCAAACAACATGGACTCTTCTTGAATCCTACTGTGTACCTAAAGCTTAAAGTATTAGACAAAAAATGTCCTGAGGTAAAAATGAGAAATCTACCTCTTCTCCAGTCCTTCTCTGCCCCCAGATATTGGGAAATCAAAATCCTTAGAAGAATGCAGTCCACAGAATACTGCAGATCCTGAATGTACATAAAAGTGACCCCAGTATAATCTCCAGTTCACAGAGCCCCAGGAAGACAGACGTTGGAATGGGCCTCAGGGGGTCTGTAATCCAACCTCCCTAAAGCACTGTCAGATCTGAGGTTGACAGAAGTACTCTGGACTTACCCACTTGGGTCTTCAAAAATTCCAGAGATTGTACCTAGCAACCTGTTCCAGTACTTCATTATGATAAAGGTTTTTCAATCCACTTAAAGCCCTGAAAGTCTCCAGCTGGAGATTTCCACGTAGAAACCAAACTTGCAATCAAAATAAGTTTAATCAGCACTTATTTACGGTGTTGATACTCTTGTGGATATGCCCTTCTGTCTTGTCTCCATAATAAAAATGAATATTTGAAAAGCAACCTATTTTGAAGTATCAGCTCCTAAATTCCAGCCTCCCCAACATGACTTGGTGAAACAATTAACAATTGCTTTCTAAAACAGTAGTACTGCTAACTCAAACTTTGGTAGAGCATGACATGAAATGTCTATGTTAAAAAAAAAGGAAAGGTATGAGCACAAGTATCTTAGTGCAGTAGTTCCATTTGCAAAATTAAACTGACTTGAGGGATCTCACATTATATTTCTCAGAGCCTTCAGACTATTAAATTCTTCATAAGTTTCCACTAATGTTAAGACTAAAGATGTAAACATGAACTAGCATCATATTTGGCAAGATCTCAGAGAGTCAGTATTTTTAATTGGATTTTAATTGGACATGTTTATTTTAATTGGACATGTTAGACTATGCATAAGCACCTATTCTCACTTCAGTAGGACATCTTAATTTGACCAGAAGCACTTTCTGTAAGTTGCCAATTTACTTACAACTTATTGTAACCAAGGAAAGCCCTCCCTAAGTATAGTTGAAAGTGCAATACCTACTTTTTGAGTTTTTCTTATAGTTGGTGCCATATCTTTGAAATAATCAGGTTCCATTTGCTCCAAAGGATTTTGCTGAGCAGCCACATTACCATTGCCACCTTCAATCTTCACACTGGTAGGAGCATCTTCATCCCATGAAGACCAGTCTTCTACTTCTGGCTAAACACAAGTATACAGTACAAGTTAATATATTATCGTCAAGTAAAAACCTGTCTTAATATATCTTGCTAAGATATATATATATACTTAATATTAATAGCATGTATAATAATATTGCATCTTTCTAAGATATATACCATTCCTGTTGTAGGACTGGTTTAATCACTCTGTTAAGTGATTATTAAGTCACCTATTGCTTAAGGATTTACCTGTTTAGGAACAGATGAATAATCCACTGTAGTTGGCAAAGTTATTTGGTCTCCACTTAACTTTCTCCCTCTTCCAGACCTGAAAGAAAAATGTAGGATTCCTCCAAGCTCTGAAAACATGATCACTATGTTTAAAAAAAACAAAAAGTAAGTCTGAGAACAGCACTACTGAAAATAGGCATGGCTAAAACATTAAGTAGTTAAACTACCTTAGTGTTACCTACTGCCAGTAAAGGCCTGCTAAACAAAGGAATATCATCATTAATTTAAAGCAGTGCTCACAAGAATTTTCAAGTGCTATTTACTTTTCAAACTGCAGTGGAAATAGAAGAAAAGTGACTCTTAAGAAATATGAAAATGGAAAAATTAACTGAGTTATGTGCATACTGTCTGTTACAATGTTTAAATTGCCAGTGTTTGTGAAGCAAACACTATCTGTTCCAAGATAACCACTTCTATTATAAACTACGAAAGCTTTCCACTTGTCATAGGTTTTGTGTCTGACACGTGGCTTTCTGAGCTGCGAAGGCACTTTTTCCTTCCAAGTTCACACAGAGGTAGTATAAGATTATGCAAGTAAACAGCTTCTGTTCAACACATGACTCTACTTTAAAAGTACTGTTTCAATTAAAGCATTTCAGCAACTATATAAAATAATGAGGGAAACACTAATGCACAGCAAATAAACCACCTAGATGTTTACTTAATGACAGCATTAAAAGATCACAATAATAATTAAAATGTTCTTTGCTGACATTTACTATGTTTTAAAACTTTACAACACAATACAACTCAGGCTCACAGTCATAGTTTTCCCGAAGGTGTGTAAGCTCCTATAGCAAGACAGTCAAGTAATTTACCTTAGTTTTACTATTACAGAACATTCTACCATCAACTCTGAATAGTCAAGTTGTTTGCAATACTACCTCTGCTGCATGCTGGTGATTGATTAGATATATTTTTCCTACTTCAAGCCAAATAGATTCTTCCTCAGGAAAGATTAAGTGCTATCATCCAATTTTCAAGATTTATTTAATAACTCTAGCCCCATTAGTAACTAAGCTGAAAAGCAATGCAGTTTAGGGGTAAACGAAAGTGAAAACAATGTTCCCTGAAACCCATCAGACACTTTGGGTTCTGGCTGACTAGATTTAATGGATATCTCTAAAGGAAACCCAAGCTGACATTAAATAGGAGAAACGTTCATAGTTAAGGGACTGAAGTAATATGATCTCCACTGACTTGCTGATGTGAAAAATTTTAAATGTTCATTCTTTCAACTAATAGCTATTAATAGAAATTCTACTTTCTACTCTGAATCAGTTTCTCAGCTGTTCAAGTACTTAGTTTATCCAGGAGTTGAAAAACAGAGGAAAATACTGCCATTACGCCTACTAAACAATTATCTCCTTATAATCTATCTTAATACCTAAAGAGATGAAGGATCCACATAATATACAAGTTATCAACACAGTGTTCTGACTTCTTTATGAACTTGGGACAGCACATGTTCTTAATTTAATTTGGAATTCAAATCACAGAACTAAGGTTGACCTCTATATGGCTGTATGCAGCATTAAAATTAATCTTTTTAAAGCTTCACTACATCTGTCGTGAATTTAACAACCACTTGAGAACTTCCTTTTATTCTTGGAATAAGTAAAGGAGAACAGAAAATAAAAGTTATTTTGTATCGACCACATATTCTGCATATGAATTAACATCACTCTCATCATACACAAAATAATACATGTATCTAGGATGCTTTCTGTTTGTGTAAAACAACCCTCTGCAAGACTGGCAAGAAGCAAGAGTAGTTCAGATGACAGCACAGAGCTGAGATGATCTACCTCAGGTACTTGGCTACTGTGCTGCTGAACTCTACAGTGACACAACTGTAACTCTTGAGGGTTTTTGTAATGCTTCTAGGTAACACAGCTGTGCTCATGGGTCTACAACTCTAAAGAACACTAAGTATGGCTTAAAAGAATAAGCAAAAACTACTCATGTTCATTTAAAAAAAAACAACAACAAACAAACAACAAACAAAACAGTTCGTTTGAATTTTAATCACTGTGCTCCAAATTTCTGAAAGAATCTTCAATAGACAGAACAATCTGAAGTGTTGCTTGACAAAGAACGGTAAGAATCACATTTATAATGAAAGCCTACTCACTGATGGCTAGGTGGATGCCACTGTTAACTGAATGACTTAAAAACCAAAATATCACTTGCAAATACTTCTAGAAAAAGTAGAGATAAATTTTTCTTGAAGATTGACACAGCATAGTTTTGGAAGTTAATTTTAAAATACGGTCATAGCTGTTTAAAAAACACACCTCATTAGAGCTATCACACCACAAAATATATTCACAACTGCACTACACAGACTTTTGAACTCTTAAGGAATATACAGATTAAAGATAAAAGCTAAATCGAATTAATTCTATCTTATCTATCTTGATTGTTTTGCAATTAGTAAAATCAGAGCTGGGAAAAGTGCTGGGTGGGTATTGGGAGAAGGAGAGAAGTGCAAGAATCTGTCATTAAAAAAGAAAAGGTAAGTAAATTACATAAGGCATGTTTACCTGCATATTAACTTTTTAATGAAAGAAAGCACTGCTGCCAGGCAAGTACAGATTTTAAAAAGTCGAAACTGTGTTATAGCCATGGTGAGAAACACTTCCTGCAAAAGAAAAAGATTAGATGTAGAGGATTATACATCTTCACATAGTTCTTAAAGTCAGTTTCCTTATCTCCTGATAAACAAGAAGCATTCTGTGAAACTATATTAATGCAAGAAAAGACAGGAGGTATCTGCAAAGATGCTATACCTGCTTACTATTGGGACATTACACTGATGTAAGTAATACAAGTAGCTAATGTATATGGCCTTGAAAGAAACAGCACATAATCACAGGTTGAGTCACAGTTTAAGATACTTCTAAAGGACAAGTGTGGGCAATTGACTGTGCAGCTGGTCTGTTTCACTGTAACAATGGCACTAACACCAGCAAAGGAAGAACAGGATAATCATTAATAAGAGGCTCAACATTTGCTTGAGCAAGTCTTGCATAGACAAATTATAAATGTAGTCATTAAGTCAAAATCCAAAAGTGGCTGTTTCCATTTAGTTTCCATTTTGATGGAAAAGTATTATAAGAACAAACGTTTATTTTAGAACTAGTGTCACTGAAAAATCATCAGACAGACTATTCATGCTGTGTGCACTATAGCACAAGTTCACCGCTAATCTATCAATATTCCTATGCCAAACTGGATCATGCTAGCAAACTAAGTCAAGCAAAAATAGATTTTTGGCTGAAGACACTTATATTGGCAGCTATTTTTCAGTGTCAATTTTATAATCTAGAGAATTTATACTGAGTGTACCACATAATTCCAACAGGTCCCCTCAAAGAGGCACAAACTGAGTGAGAATTATCTGCTGTAATTCAAGGATTCCTTTTCTCTATTCTACAGGTGAACATTTCAGAGTAAAGAAGAAAAGGTTAGGCTTCACAAAAAGCTTTTAATTACATACATCTACACTGGTAACAACATTTGCTGTTGCAAGTTTAACATACCTCCTGGTGAGAAGAGAAGGCAGCCCTGTGACATTTTCCTCAGGCCATGAGTATTCCATGGAAGGACAGCTCGATTTCAAATATGCTATGGCATTTAAATCACTTTTTATATTCCAGGCTTTAAGTTAGGAAGAGTCAGGAAGGTGGATCATTAGGTAGGCTGCTCCAATACTGCCCTAAGGATTTTATTAAAAAGTACATAATGGGATTTGTGAGCTTCATGGAGCTTAGATCTATTTTTTTTTTTTTATTATTGGTGCTCATTTGCTAGATAACATAACTAGTATTAAACACTGTAGTAATACAGTACTGGAAATATTGCTTCATTTACAGTCCAGGTAAGAAATTTCTGCTACTGAAAAATCGTACAGGATGGCTATTTAACAAACCAGTCCTTCTACTGTAAAATGGAAGGCTTAAGTCACTAAGTAACCACCAAATTACACACTGCAATAGGAAGGTGTAGGTCAGAAGAAAGGCCTCATAGGGAATGTTTCACCTCTACTTGAACACTAACAATATCTTAATCTCATTTCATAGGAGACTTAAAAACACAGAACCTTATCAAAGAATGGTTATTATATGAGCTTTTCATCTAATAGGAACAGGGAACAGTCAAACTTCCAACAAATAAGCAAGAACAGCATGCACTGTCCAACACATTTAGCTTTTAGTTTTGAAAACAGGACTTTACTTTTGTATTGTGCTCAAGCATTTCCTTACCTTCTGGAACAAACAATTCTGACAATATTTTGGTGACAGGAGAATGCACCAGTCAAGAACTTGAAAGTTCAGAAATTGTGGATGTTAGTGAAAAAAACAGTGTGCAGCAACTTCATAGACAGTTTCCTATTCTAAAGGTAGAAATTACTCCAAACTGACCCTAAATTGATGAAAGATACTGTTACTTTAAAAAAGGCGGCTACAAGCAGCTACAAGCCATCCAGCTGGGATTTGATGTATGAAGAGCAGGTGAACTCCTGAAATGAGAATACAGGTATGTCTTTTCTGAAAGGAAGCTTGTTTAGAAGCTCACTCCACTATCAGAATTCACTATTCTATCAGCTTGGGGGGGCAGGAGGAAAGGAGTAGAAATATACTCAACGTTACATACAGTAAAGTCATTTTCCCCACTGGCCTACCTAACGGCCACACTAGACAGCCAAGACATATCCTAAATTAAAAACTAAACTGTTGACTGAAAAGGCCGTTTTAGGAAGTAATCATTAGTCAAAAACTCAATATTCTTTCTGCCTAAATTCAAAGGGCTGAGAAATGTATCAGCTAAGTGCAAAATTAAAACAGCATTCAAATGTATGTGTACATGTATGTGTGTGTATACATATTTAAAATCTGATTTTCAACTAATATCCATTTTGTAAATATATCAAGTGGCATACTGTATTGACTTCCTGATATAAACAGATAAAAAAATAAAATTCACAAGTGTGATCTGAAAGCTTGTGAGGTCCACTGCTGACAAGAGTTAGCCACCAGAAATTAATCCGTTTTTCCCAGGTCATTCCTATACATGCGTGACTTCACTTCCAGAATCACCAGTATGCCTGCTTGGCAGGGTTCAACAGCTATCAGCATTCTCCGTAACAATCAGGTAACTTCTCCCTCTCCACTTTCTATGTGTCATTCAAAAATTTCAGAGCTATGAAAAACTCACACACACGACCCCATGCTGAATTTGTGTTAGTGTTGCAATTTGGTTCAAGTGTGGCAGCTCTAGTTCCTTGAAGACAGTAAGGACTGTTTTGCCTGTCTCCTCTGAACTTTGATTGTAGTCTTCCCAATTAAGTTAAGCTCTGTGCACTACAAATTGTCAGGCACACAACCAGAGTTTTGGCAATATGCTATCAGCTAGCCATAGATTACTATCCTTCACCTTTAATCAATGTATCTACTTTTTATACTGATAATTGGGATACCAAGCAGTACAAGTACATTAAGTTTAGCAATATGCTAAAAGCTGTTTAAAACAGAATCTTGAATCAACTATTGTCTCAAGATTAGGAGAAGTCAGACCTTCTCCCCAGTGCCTGAAACAGCACTTGAAGCAGTTGCATTGCTGCTCGAAGGACAGTACTGTCCAAAAAGAAAAAGTAAAGGTAAGCTAAAGGTTTTGTGTTTGTTTGGTGCCCTTTGGGTTGGGTTTTTTTAGTGTGTTTAGGTTTGGGGTTTTTGGGGGGGGGGTTGTCATTTTTTATGGAGTTTTTAAAGTCAATTTTCTCAAATGGAAATAATTCTGAAGTTGTACTGATACAAATGTATGTGGAAGCTTAGTATTTCCTGAGTTCACCGCAAACTTAATTCATCTGATACCACTACACTAAACGTGTTAAGTGAAACGAAGTGTTCAGTCATTAGTCATTGTTTTTCAGTTTCCCATCTTGTATTTCACAGTTGACCTTCCTGGTTCCCTTCAGCTTTGGATTGTTAGGTTTGCATTTGATGGTTCCTCCACAGTATGTGCATCAACTACTTCTATATAAGCAGAACTTGATACAGGTCTCATTAATGCAAGGTTCTGGATATATCTCCAGTTAGTGATATTTTTTTTATATACACACATGCATATCTCATTATAAAGCCCTTAGATGATGTCTGAAGAGATTATGCCCCTCTCTGGAAGTGTTCAAGGCCAGGTTGAATGAGGGTCTGAGCAAGTGGGAGGTGTCCCTGCCCATGCAGGGGGGTTGGAACTAGATGATCTTTAAGGTCCCTTCCAACTCAAACCATTCTATGATTCTGGTTGTCCATCTTTATCTTTCTTATCACATGAATGGGAATGAATACCAAATGGTGTGATGCTAAATGGCAGGGCCACAACATTCTTTATTCCTTTTCTTCTCTTAAGCCTTTCCCTGATAATCTCTCCCAAAGGGAACTATAATTATATCAGTAGCTGACTATGATACAGGACAGCACAGAGACATAATACACACTGGCAGTGATGCAGCAAGAATCCCAGAACATTTCTGAACAGATGGAGGCAAAGGTGAAACTCTGGACTAGAATTCAGAATATCTGGTAGGAGTTGTCTGTCAGCCTGATACACCCCTGTGCGTATCACACCTCACACCTCAGCTTCCCATTTGTAAAATGGGATAGAGCTTTCCTTCTCTCATTATAGAGGTTGCTTCTAATGCACTGCATTTCTCAGACTTACTCTCAACTTCTCAGTTCCATTACAAGAGATATAAATAAGTAAATAAAATAGGACATGAATCCTAATTAATTTAATTCTAGCAGTCAATGCAACAATTTTGTAACAGACACCAGATGTAGCTAGAGTTTAACTTGCATGGCTCATGCTGCCTTCTATTGTTAAAAAGTTATTGCAGCTGCTCACATGGAAGACGAGCACAGAAAGGATTAAAGCAAGGCAGCAGCAAGATGTTAAACACACTATAGCCAAGTCAGAAGAATGAGGCAACTTATCCCCAAAAACATTTTATGGATCCATAAAGGAAACACAGTGAAGGGAGGGAAAGTTCCTAAGTTTATTGAACTGAAACATTTTTACATTGCTTTCACATTTCGGCAGTGGCCTTCTTAGACTCCTGGCACCTCTGATTTCACTGACACTAGTCAGAAATCATCTGCAGCATGTATAGTTAACTATGATGCCATAAGCAAGACTCTCACTGGCCATTACTGTACAATGAGCACAGTGTCATGAGGAGAAGCTTTCCCTCTTTCATGCTTAATTGCACACACAAACACCATTTAACACTTGAAGAGACAAGAGACGATTCTAAAATAGTCACTTTGTGGCACTAAAATAACTTGATTTCCATTAGTGAACTCATCTTTTGCTGACATTGAAGAAGATGCCAAAACACTCATTAAAGAGCACCTATCCTGCTCTCCTTTGCTCCTCTACAATGCTGACCAATTTGTCGTGTGTAGGGTTTTTTTAGGTATCATGACCTTTGAAATGCAATTTCTGCCTTGAATTACCAGTGCTTTGTGAATTGTTTACATTTTCTTTCATATCAGTTCATCTCTGACTCTGGAATGAATACATCAAGATATCTCAGAACACTGACTTTAACTTACACTAAACACAGCTAGCTAAATAGCCA